TTCTCATGTGTCATGAAGGTGTATGTGCATATGTGAATGCATGCATTTGTGGAGGCCAGGGGTCATCTTTGAATGTCTTCCTCAGTTACTTTTTGAGACAGAGACTCCCACTGAACCTGGAGCTCACTGATTGGCCTGGCTGCCTGGCCCCGCCTTCCTGGTCTGGGACTACGGATTTATGATTATAAAATCAAAATATAATCAACTATAAAGAGTGCCCTACATCCTATAGTGCCAAGTGCTAACGCTTCATTTAAAAATAAATAAGGGGGCTGGAGAGATAGCTCAGAGGTTAAGAGCACTGACTGCTCTTCAAGAGGTCCTGAGTTCAATTCCCAGCACTCATATGGTGGCTCACAACCATCTGTAATGAGATCTGGCGCCCTCTTCTGTATATATAGTAAATAAATAAATCTTTAAAATAAATAAATAAATAAATAAATAAGGACAAGCTCCAAAGCTACACAGAGAAACCTTGTCTCAAAAAAACCAAAATAAAATAAAATAAAAGTAAATAAGCATACGCCTCTCATTAATATACAAATTTGCTTTCATCTTTAACAAATGGCAAGGTTTTGTGTATATCTGAGAATTGTTTTAAAATAATTTCTTCATCATTATTATCAGCAAATATTTCATTTATATGCCTATTTTACATTCCTATATATCCAAGGTCACATAAAAATTTCTTGAGTAAAACAGGGTCACAAATGGAATTTTTTGTTGGTAGTGGTCGGGTTTTTGTTGTTGTTCTGTCCATTTCGTTTTGTTTTTTTAATGTGTTTGGGTGTTTTGCCTACATGTATGTCTGGGTACCATGGGCATGTCTGGTGCCTGACGAGGCTGGACGGAGGCATCAGATCCCTGGGATTGGAGTTGCAGATGGCTGTGAGCCACCATGTGGGTCCTGGGAACCAACCCTTGGTCCTGTGCAAGAGCAGCCAGTGTTCTTAACCACTGAGCTATCTAGCCAGTCCCTGAGTGGAAAATGTTTAAGGAGCCCTGCTCTAGGGTACCACGGGATAAACGGGCAGAGAAATTACACAACAGTTGCCAGCATTGTGAGGAGCGGGCAAAGCTGGCCTTCGCCTGGAACCCCCTAACTCCACCCCACTGCCCAGCCACACCTACCTGCAGCAGGAAGTCGAAGAGGGCCAAACGCGCCCACTCGGCACGGTGGATGCCCAGGCACGGCATCTGGCCTGGCCAGCGGCAGCCTCGTGCCAGCAGGGCCTGGTACTGCAGCCAGCCCAAGGCCAGAGAGTTCTGGTCCTCATCTGGGTCTCCCAAGTGCTGCACGTCGGGTGCCCACCAGATGATGGGCCTCAGACTACCGTCCGTGTAGCGGTAGGGCAGAAGAGGACTGTGGAAGCTCCGGGCCACAGCAGGCAGGCTCCGCTGGAGTCCCAGCACACGGTCCACATGAAAGGACAGGACTTCATGCAGGTCACTGGGCCTCTTCACCAGCCCACAGAGGCCCTGGGAGCAGAGCTGGCTGAGCCTGAGAGGAGACATGTCCTGGAGGGCACCGTCAGCAGATAGTCCGACCTGCAGCACCTGCCCATGGGCCGGGACCCTGGCTTTGCCCACCACCTCCCCATGGGCCAGCAGCCAGAGAGTCTGAACATCGTGTTCTGTGAACCAGGGTGGAACCTGCCCCCCAGCCGCAGCACTGGCCAATAACCCAGGGGTCTCAGTGTGGCACCACGAGGACCTTCTCAGCTCTCCAGCAGAGCCAGACCACCAGTGAGTCCCAGAACCTGAGGTCACACCCCCAGCCTTCCCACCAGTCAAGACTCTGGCCCTGGCTCCGGGCAGGGAATCCTCACCTTCTGATGGTTGGGGCCTAAAGCTCACTGCAGCAGTCCCTCTCCATGCCTGGAAAGTTGCCTGGCTGCTCCCTGTGAGTGGGCTAACCAGGGTGTCTTTCTTACTCTGTGTCTCTTGGACAGGACCATCTTGCCCAGGCTGTTCGAGGGCTGTGCCTCCTGCATCTCTGACCTCATTCTCCATCAGAAGCACAGGATGGTGGGCACTGAGTGTCGGACCTCCTGTCACAGCAACACCTCTCCTGACCCTCAGTGGGTGTCCGCTTCTGTCTGGTCGCCTTCTGTGGCTTTGCTTCTCGGCACAGACCAGGATGGAATTTCTGGGCAAAGCCTGGCCTTTCTGGAAGCCCAGGTTTTTTGCCTGCTGCCTCTGGCTAGGGTTCAAAGTCTGCCAAATGTTGGGGTCAGGCATGCCCATTTCCCCCTGGGGCTCCATGGGACCAAGTCCTGGAGTGGAAGCTGGATGCTCTGGAGGAAAGTGAGTGACAGCCACAGCAGACAGAATCATCAAGAGGCAGGACGCCATCACTGATCGCTTCCTTCCACGAAGCCTTCTCCAGAGCCAAGACGCCTGAGGACAGGGTAAAAAGATGGTGTGAGATCTGGGAAAGCCATCAACTTGAAACCACAGAGCAGTGAAGGCCATGAACATAAGGGGCAGAAAGCAACAGCAGGACACCTAGCTGCCCCTCAAGGGGACATGACAGCCAGCCAGCTGTATCCCGACTCCAGAGATGGCTTGCTTCTGAGACAGCCTTCGCTGATCCTTACAGACATGCCTGGACTTCTCCGTATAAGCTACTGCACGACGCTGATCACCATGCCTCACAATAGACTCACCCACCATCTAGTGCTGACCCCGTTCCTTTCAATTCTGTGGTCTTTATTACCATTTCAAACACAAATACCAATAAAGCATCCATAGAAAATCCAAGTCATGCTAAGAAACTCAGAGCAAGGGGCTCAGGCATTGAGAGCACTTGCTGTTCTTCCAGTGGACCCCAGTTCAGCTCCCAGCACCCACACGGGCAGCTCACAGCTGCTTATAACTCCACTAGCATGAGATCTGGCCCCCTCTTCCAGCCTCCATGAGGTACCCATACTCACACAGACACACAGACACACAGACACACACACACACACGACACACACACACAAAACTAAATAAACTTTAGAAAAATAAAAAGTAAAGAAAATTGGAGGGAACAAAACCCACCTTCTCCATGCAGGAAGCCATGGCCCTAATCTGAGGGTACGCCACACAACGTTCTGCTGAACATCAGTGTGCACATCGCTGCAGAAACATCTGAGAATTTCTACAAATGACGCCAAGAGGAGTTTGGGGGCACTTCCCGCATCTCTCTATGGTATGGGAACTCCTTTAACCATCAGAACTAGAGAAATTGGGATTACATAATTCATATTTTAAAGCTGAGAACAGGAAGATCAGGGCCAGTAAGCATGGATGAAAATATTCAGATAACACAGAGGAGAAGAGTCCAGGGAACATTCGTTTGGATTTTCCTTCTAATTGAAACAAAACAAAAGATTTGTTTTCAAGTTGAATTCGTAATGTGTGTTCTCAAAGGGCTAGATATCCCCAGGAAAAATGAACCCCTTCTAAGATGGGCTGAGACGGGGGTTGTTTGGGTCCTGGTGCCGGCCTTCCTTGGCTTCAGGAAGCCTGGGAGGAGTTGGCAGTTGTACCAAGGGAGGCTTAAATGGCCAAGAGCAGATGTCCCTGCTGGCCACACACATGACACTTTGGGAAAAGACAAGTGTTTGTGAAAATGCAAGGAGAGTCAGCGGGTGGAGCCTGAGCTGACCTTCCCTGCGCCTCTGCTGACAGTTCTCAATATCCCAGCACGCGCCACGAGTCTGCCAGGAGAGGAAAGAGAGACAGCAGTGGCTCTCCTCTCAAGTCCCCACCCTCTACCCGTCACCAGGATGCCTTTTAGTTCCTGGGGGAAGATGCCAGAAGAGAGCGAGATCCAGAGAACCCACAGCCCAGGCACCCTAGTGCGGGGCGTTTACCCACCAACCCCACAGTTCCCCAGAGTTTTCTTGAGTGACAGCATCAGGAAATATTAGGATTTAGAATGTGGAGATAAACATAGAAAATACAGGATAGCCTCGAGAGGGCCTGGAACCTTTTCCAATGAGCCCTGACTGTCTCTGCCCTTTGGTATTTATAGAAGCACCAAGGGGTGGAGCCAAAGACCTCCCCCCAGCACAGCCAAGTGCAGACCATCTCAGACACCTGCACTCAGGCCCGTGGTCCAATCACCCTCTCTATGTGGACCTGCTGGGTAAAGCCACTAGGAACCTGAAAACGGGCTTCCACACCCTGGGCCCAGGGCTGAGCTTCCAAAGCTATGAATGATGTGCAAGCCACACATCTCTGTCCCTGTGACTCAGAAGATGGAACGCAATTACTGCTCCCTCTGAGGGCCCACATGTGGACTAAATGAATCAAACTATGTAATTAGGCCTGCTGAACCCTTCCCATGAGTGTTGGGGGGGTCACTGCTGAACCCCTCCCATGAGTGTTGGGGGGGTCACCGCTGAACCCTTCCCATGAGCGTTGGGGGGTCACCGCTGAACCCTTCCTATGAGTGTTGGGGGGTCACCGCTGAACCCTTCCCATGAGTGCTGGGGGGTCACCGCTGAACCCCTCCCGTGAGTGTTGGGGGGGTCACCGCTGAACCCTTCCCATGAGTGTTGGGGGGTCACCACTGAACCCTTCCCATGAGTGTTGGGGGGTCACCGCTGAACCCTTCCCATGAGTGTTGGGGGGTCACCGCTGAACCCCTCCCGTGAGTGTTGGGGGTCACAGCTGCACCCTTCCCGTGAGTGTTGGGGGGTCACTGCTGCACCCCTCCCGTGAGTGCTGGGGTCACTGCTGCACCCCTCCCGTGAGTGTTGGAGGGGTCACCGCTGAACCCTTCCCATGAGTGTTGGGGGGTCACCGCTGAACCCTTCCCATGAGTGTTGGGGGATCACTGCTGCACCCCTCCCGTGAGTGCTGGGGTCACTGCTGTTCTCTCTTATTGGGTTTTGATAGGTACCTGTGTTTGAACACTCGGACCTAGCAGTTGGCACTGCTTCAGAAAGTTG